CATAGTCAACCTGTGGGTCTGTCACGTTGTGGAAAAAGGGAGAAGCAGTGTGGAAAACTCCATCGCAACCCTCAACAATAGAGTCAAAGGAATTTTCACTCAAAAGATCGGCCTTTACCAGGTGAAGTCTCTCCTCTGCACCTTCAAGTTTAAGCAAATGTTCTACTTTTCTCTGATCATCTGCGAAACCCAGATAAATAAATGGTTAAAAAAAGTAAACTTTAAACCTAAATTAACTGATTTGTAAGAAAAGATTTACACCCATTTACATAATCCTCTACATTGAACTTATTTCTAAAACTTCCAGTACAAAAGAAAAATGCTGTGAATAAATTGAAAGTTTGAGAAATTGGTGAAAGAAGAGAAAGAAGAAACTGACTTGGGTTGCGAACAGTGGCTCTGACGGTGTAACCACGTTGAAGAAGGAACTTCACAATCCATGAAGCAATGTACCCTGAAGCACCAGTCACACACACCAACTTTCCCTCATTACTCATGCTTCCTTCCACTCATTCTACTCATCTTCTATCTCCCTATATATAGATTTCTTCAAATTTTATTAGTAAAAATATAAGAGGACTGAATATATTTATTAAATATATAACTTTTATGTTTATTTGAAAAGGTAAATGTTATTTTATTAAAAAGTGTTTTATATCATTTGTAAGATTGTTTGAATTTTCAAATGTAAGTATCAAATTTAAGTCTTAATTACATGTAATAAGGAGACAAATCAGATTCGTACTCTCTCAAATATTAAGTAATTGATATAATAATTTAAATAGAATATCTACATATTATTGTTTCAATTTAAAAATAAAGTATTATTATATATTCATTCATGTCACTTCAAATTTTTTCTGTTAATATGGAGAAGGGTTGAAGGAATATTTTACGTACATAAATTTATTTATTATTAATCCTCTCTTTAGATTTCCTTAAAGTTGGAGAAGAGGACAAGAGCATAGAAGAAAAAAATATTTAAGAGGAAAGTGAAAGTTGGATTACCGAATTAAATAAATATATTAAAAATTTTATTTTTTTCATTTTACTTTTTCTTCTATTTATTATTCTCTCGTTTAAATAAAAATATAATTTTAAATTTGATATATAGTATGATATTTGAATAAAAATATGAATGTTACAAAGTTTAGTCGTTAAGCTTAGAATATAGATGACTGCTATAATTGAATATGATTACACATGACGAGTGCGCTTACATGTAATTGTTGTTTTGTTCATAAATATAAAATTGGTAAGGTAACATTAATTTAAAATCTGGTATAGTGATCCATAATAGTCTATTTTATATTATAAAGTACAATTAGTAGGTATGAGATAGTTTATAATATATATTATGACAACATTATTACCTTGCCCACTACCATTAAACTATTTACTATACAAAATAGCTTTTGTTTCTATTTTTTTATTTCTTCTTCACACCCAAACTTTGACCTCTGTATTGTCATTGTGTTTTAGCTCAGTCAAATTTTAAATTTATTATAAATTTTTCATAAAGATTCAGATAAAATGCAGATATTAAACAAAAGTATACCGTTTATTTTTTAACTCCTTTTCAGATTTTTTTTTCTACACTGTTGTTAACATTAAAAATATTATTAAGTTGAAATTGAGTTTAAAGTTTTATATTGGATAAAAATAAAATAGATTAATAATAAATAAATATAGAATAATTCATAAATTTATTATTTTAAAGTTTTGAATTGAAAATAATATTATTATTTCTTGTATAGATTATTAATACTGAATCTTTAGATGTCTTTCTTTATAAAAATAAATTTAAAATAGTATGATAGTCGATGATTCGTTGGAAGGACAATTACAAATATAAAAGATATTGAACTTTAAAATTTAAATTAAAAGATAAAAATGTTTTTATAATTTATCACATATTCTTTTATTATAAGTTAATATTCGAACAAGGTTAAACATATGTGAAAATAAACAACGGTGAACTTTTTCCAAATAGCCATAAATTAACACTAAGAAAACACAACTATAAAGAATAAACTAATTATTGGAGTCCTATAAGAATTTTTATAAATAAAAATTTACTTATTTATAGTTAAAATCAAATTTGTTAACCAATTTTATCCATAAATTTTAAGATTTTAACACAAAATTTGTTGATGTTGATTTTCGCAATAAAATCAGTAAGTAAATCATAATTTGTATTATTGATAAAAAGAATTTATCAATAATATATCCGTAAGTAATTTTGGTTGATAATTTATAAATTTTGTTATTGGCAAATCACTTTTTGTCGGTATAATAACATTAAATATTTGTTCTGTATTTTGATCAATTTGTTTAAAATTTGTTAGTAATTACATATCTTTAAAATAAATCGATAAAATTTACCGATAATTTGTAATAGTTATTATTAATTTTTTTTTATATTGAATGAATTTTTTTTATAAATTAAGTGAAGATGAATAAAAATTAAAGAAGAAAAAAAGGAAGAGAATGAAGATTAAAAATAAGAAAAAAAGAAGGATAATGAGTAGGTGGTAAAAACATAATAACGACAAAACAATGGAAACCGCCACAACAACAACTAGTATGAGGTAAAGGAAGACAAACAGAAAGAGATAGGAAAAAAAAGAAAAATAATTACAATATTTATAGATAAATTAAAAAAACACTTAAATTCAAGAAAAGAAGAAAAGAAAAATAATGTAATCTAATAATAAAAAAAACAAATACAACAATTCTCATACACCAATGTGCTGTTACTCTTTCTTACCATGCTCATATATGTATGTGAATATATCCAATCATCACACTTTTACCCACATCACCATCAATTATTAGCTTTTACAAAAATTACATTTAGAATAAAAAATTAAAAGTCAATTCCGACAAATATAAAAAAAACTCATTAAATCAAAATTTTTTTGTTTTTTTTTTCAAAATAAAAAAAGATTAATTTTATATTACAATAAATTTTTATTTTTTATTTGTCTTGTATTCCGTCTTTCATGCGTTTTTACTTCTTCTCCTATTTACATTATTTAAAAATTCAGGGGTTAAATATGTTTTTAGTCCCTAAATTATTGGTCGTTTCTGGTTTTCGTCCCTCTTTCAAAATAAGGTACAATTTGGTCCTCATTCTTTTCGAAACGTTCGTTTTAGTCTCGAAACTTTGGTTTTAGTCCTCATTTTGATGACAAGATAGGACCAAATTTTTAACGGTGTTAGTTTTCGAGGACTAGAACGAACGTTTTCGAAAAGAATGAAGACCAAATTGTACCTTATTTTGAAAGAGGGACGAAAACCAGAAACGGCCAATAGTTTAGGGACTAAAAACATATTTAACCCAAAATTCAGCTATTGAATATTCTCGTTAAACTTTTTAAAACAATATAATTATGTCTTAACTTCTTTTACCGAAAAACAATAAATCCAAAAAGTCCATTTTCTTTTAAATAAGTTTCCAACGGGAGCAGAAGGGCTATTATTTTTGTCTGGTTTCAATTCATTTTCAAGTTTAATTATATATATATATATATAACAAATTTGTTTCTTCTTACTTAAGCAATAATTATTCCAATTGTAATCATTGAAAAGTGAAAGCAACGCAACAAAAACGCTTTTTATGGTTAGCCACCAATTTAGAATAAAAGACGGAATTATTTTGTTACGGCGAAAGTACAAATCATCACGCTTAAAAATTACTTTTTTTTATCTCTTAAAATTCAATATAAAAATTTATAGAATTCTATAAGCAAAACAGACATAAATAGAAATCAAATACAAAATATTTTGATACAATATAAATTTTTTATATCTATTTGATATTATATATTTTTTATTTTTTTCTTTAAACTATAAAAGTTTATTTTTATGATATTTATCATATAAATATAAATATGTTTCATTTTTATGTTATTTTTTGGAGTAACTTAACCTATATTATTAATATCACTAATTTTTGAAGAAGATAACATGAATTAGAACTTATAAGATTCATTAAAATAATTATCTTAATAATAAATAGTAATAGTTTTTTCTTATTATTATTAATAGTAATAAATTTTTATGATCAGAAAACGTGATGAATAGAATTATATAAAAGAATAATAATAATAAAATAAAAAATTGTAATAGCTTAGATGATAGAAAAATATATATTTTATAAATTATTTTTATGGAAAGATTTCCACCACAAAATACAATGAATTTTTGGTGATTCATGCAACCAAATGACTTTCCACTACCAATGATCATATTAAGCCAATTCAATTTTTGTGATTGAAATTATAATGAGAAAAAAAAAAGAAGAAAAGTGGGTCTCTTTTGACTTCCAATTTATAGACAAACTTTTCTTTAAAAATTTTGACAATGAGTCCCACTTTTCTTTCTTATAATTTCAGCCACCATTCATTGTATTTTATGGGGAAATCTTTCTATAAAAATAATCTTATAAAAATATAAAAATAACCTTATAGAAATGTGCTCGTCAAAGTTTGAATCAATGTCATTGTCATCACAATTTGTTGTTTTATTTATCACTTTTATTTTGCATAATTCTACTTATCAACTTTTTATGTATAAGAATTATTACTACTAATCATAAGTAGAAATCCAATATGTGACACATGGACACTGATGAGGGCGGGGAGAGACACTGACAAGGAGCGGTTCCTGGCAGGCTTCCAGTGGAAGGGGCACATGGACGAATCGAACTACACCGGAATGAGAGGGATCTAGAGACTGTATAAGTATGAGACTATACAGTTGAAGGATAACTTAAATGGATTGATTTGGCTACTCATATCATCAAATGCATTTGTTTTTCGGTAGCCTCTTTGTAAGTTGCCAAGACGTTACAAAATATAAATATTTTGATACATATAATTTTTTTATATTTAATTAATATTATTTTTTCTTTTTTCTTTTTTCTTTAAAATACAAAAGTTTATTTTTATAATATTTATCAGATAAATATAAATATGTTTCATTTTCATCGTTACTTTTTGAAGTAACTTAACCCATGTTATTAATATTACTAATATTTGAAGAAGATAAGATGAACTAGAACTCAACCAACTTCTTTTCTTTTAAACATTCAACTGTCTCCTTAAGGCTCTCTTCCAATGAAATAAACTCAATTCCCAAACTCTTTGCCTTTTCTTTGGAAACCTGAAATGTTGGCATAAATGGCTCGTCATCTTCACACCTGATACAATTGATAAGAAAGTCAAAAATTATATTAATAATATATTAATTTAAGAGTAAGTAAAAAGTCTTCCATTAAATAAAAATTAAAAAATTAATAATATATAAAAAAATAAACTTACAAATATTTAATTCTAAAATTTTGTCTTAAAAATAATATTAAGTTTCTTACCTAAACAATCTAAACCATAGAAATGTTCAGTCTCCCAATCTCATCTAGTAAATTTCTCAACAATTTCTCACAATATGCACCATAAACATAGCTTAATAAAGTTTAAATTATACATTGGTAAATCACTCATAAATTAATTAGTTGAGTAAAAATACTATGAGATACACGTTAACATTCATTTGACCTACCTAATAAAGATAAAATAAGTTTTAAAAGAGTAAATTTTTATAATTTTTCAAAAAAAAGAAATAAAAAATAAAAAAATAATATAAAGCATTATTTTTCAAATTAATTATGTATAACTTTAAAGTAATGATATTAAAAGTCAAACAAATTGGTATACATGTCAATTCTTAACTAAATGACATTAATTTCTGAGACATAAACTTACTTGTCTGCAATCTTCAAAGTTGGGTACATCTGACCTAAAATTTTAACAATTTCAGAGAAGTGTGCAACTCTTTCAACCAGACAATATCTTCCACTAGCTGAATCACTCTCATATGCTTGAACATGTGCATCTGCAACATCTTTCACATTGACCCACCCAAAACTCAAATTTGGAAACGTTTTTGAACCTGCATCAACCAAGTGAAAGATTTATTCTTTTGGGAAAATCTGCAGAGCTAAAAGACTTGAATGGTTCAGAAGATAAACATCACATCACCATCGATTAGCTTTAAAATTGAGGAAGAACTTCCGTTCATTTCTTGTTGCAGCAGAGGCCCTATGGTCATTGCTGGGTTAATAACAACCAACTTAATGTCTTGTTCGTCCAAAAATTTTCTGGCAGCATCCTCAGCCAAAGTCTTTGATAATGCATACCATCTCTGAAAATGTTTAACACTCAAAAATAAGAAAATTGCGAAAAAATAAGGGTTAAAGAAGTGAAACTTTCTAACATATCACCTCACACCATAATATATAGATTTCATGCATTAAACTAGACATAGCATATCACCTCACACCATAATATATAGATTTCATGCGTTAAACTAGACATGATTTAATAGCAGTTTATTAACTCATGAAACAATATATCAAATTTTTGAAAGTTTCACGTCGATTAGAAATAAGGGTAATTTATATTATATAAATAAGTGTAAATCTCACTTACAAACCGATTTTGTGAATTTTCGTAGTTAAACCTAAATTTTATTTCTTAACATGATATTAGAATCTATTCTAATAAAATCACATATCAATCTATCCGCTATCAAACAACTAATTAAAGTTCACTTATTAACACAAATAAACAACAAATGTTAAAAAAAATGAACTTTGAACCCACCTTCTTACATAGGTACGTAGATCTCATGCATGGAACCATACACATAAAGTGAGATTTTGATCCACTTACGTATTTTAAGTTAATCTTCTCTGATATATGTAAGACTTTGTGACAACAAAAGACAAATGGCAATTGCTAAGAAAGAAGAATAGCGCACACCTCATTTTCCCTTAAGATGTTTGGATCCGAAAACCAAGTTTCATCAAGTACAACCTCGGGAGCTCGAGGCCTTCCATTGTACAAAACCGCAGCAAAAGAAGAAGTTAAAACAATTCGTTTCACTGATGTCGATTTTGCACATGATTTAACAACGTTAAGAGTTCCTTTAACAGCTGGATCAATCAACTCTTTCTGAAATAAACAAAAACAAAAACAACGTTTCAAAGTGAATCATCACAAAACCAATCAGATATAGATCATCCCCATTCAACAAAACTCAGTCTTTTTCTGAATTTTCCGAACTACAAAACCATCTGATGAAAACGTGCATCACTGGTATTTCAAAGTGAATAATAAAATGAACCTGTGGGTCGTTGACTACGAACTGAACCCGTGAAGCAGTGTGAAAAACACCATAACAACCCTCAATAGCAGAGTCAAATGATCCTTCTTCAAGAAGATCTGCCTTATAGAGATGTAACCTTTCCTTTGCTCCATCAAGTTTCAGCAAGTGATCAACCTTTTCATGATTAGCTGCATAGATCAATAAGCACAAGATCAATCATCCATATATATATATATATATATATATATATATATATATATATATGGTTAATCGAAGGTGAAAGAGGAGCTGACCTGGGTTACGAACAGTGGCTCTGACAGTGTAACCACGTTGGAGAAGAAATTTGACGATCCATGAAGCAATGAAACCAGAAGCACCAGTCACACACACCACTTTTTCTATGTTGCTGCTCATCTTCTCTTCCTTGATCAAACACCTTGCTTTCAGCTTATGTCTCGTTATTTTCTACTTAAAGAGATTTCATATCATCCACATACTTTAGATCTATCTTGTATAGTTTCAATTAAAACCCTTGTAATAAATCTTTACTACAAAACTGGGTTATTTTTCTGAGTCAAAAATCGATTCTTTCATTCATTTTTCTAATTTTCAAAATAAACAAAGAACCCTGATTCGTCAACATGGCATACTTTATTCAACAAATTAAAAGTGACTTGCTTTTTAACAAACATTTTCATTACCATTTGAATGCTGACTATTTGATTTTTAGACTATGATTATTAATAATGTTTTATAATAATGTTTTAACAATAGATAGATATTACTATTTTATTACTCCGTTTAAATTTATTTTTACCACACCAGGATATTGTAAAAAATTTATTAAAAAAAAAATTGTTAAAAAAATATGAACTGCCCTATTAAACTACTGACGCCATTGCAGTGGGCACAATTTGAAATTCAATATTAAATGTGCATTTCAAAAAGTCTTAAATGCTCAAAGTGGTTTCAAAATAAAATTTAAAATCCTATTGAGAATTTATTTTCTTCTTATTTCGGTATTTAAGGGTCTGTTTCAGATATGTTGAGGGTCATCTTTGAATTTTTCCTTTTCTGAGAATAGTTATGTTCTCTTGGACTTTTAGAAGCTTACGTTTCTTCATGGATCTATGGATTTCTTTTCTTGGATGCTGCTTTTGTTATTTTGATGTGTAACAAAACTTTACTTTTTCGTTGAGATTCAGTAGATTACTTGGGATTTTACAAGGGCTTGATTGGATTGTTATTAAAATCTAGTGCTTTTATTATTATTTTCGACTTCATTATTATATATATATATAAACACGTGAAACGCACGTATATCCAATTTTATCTTACAATTATAAAAAAATAGTTATTTTAATTATTATTAAAATAAAAATACTATTAAATTTTAAAAAAAAATTACCTTTTAAAAATAATTATAACATATAGATACAAAATTTAAAGAATTATATATTTAATAAAATAATTTATATTATTAAGAACAAAATTGGTAATAAATATATGCACATCAAAAAGCCAATCAATCAATATCTACTGGTGACCACACATGATTTAAGAGTATGTTCACAAAAAATAATAAAATTATTATTATTATAGTTTTGTAAATAAATTTAAATGATTTTTACAATTTTATTATAAGTAATTTTATTCTGTTAGTTATTATAGTTTAAAAGAATAGTTAAATTTTAGGGGGGAAATAGTTGATTTTTTTAAAAAATCATTTAAAAGATAAATTTGGTAAAATAATTATTTTAATTTTAAAAAAATAATAAAAATTATAAAATTGAAAACAAAATCTATACACGAAAAATCTCTTTATATGATAGTATATATATATATATATATATATATATATATATATATATATATATATATTATTTTAATTCTTATTATTTTAACAAATTATTAATGGACATAAGTGGACATTGAAAAATATTTTTATGTGTAACATCCCAAATATAATATAAATACTATAATAGAGTTATTCCAGAATCAATAAAGTAAACCGTCCACAGACAAACAACATAAGTTAATACCGTCATCATAATAACCATAATATAAACTCTATATACAACTCAACATCTAAACCAAAACTATATACATTCAAACAAAATAAGTCTTGCAATATTTATGATAAGGCTAAGGAGGGTTTGGAGGCATTTGACGATAATTTTAAATTTTAAAGTCTGTGGCTATTTTTCATAACAGTATGTTGGATGATGGTTTCTACTGCTTAATAGGCTCAAGTTAGAGAGCTCTAGCAGCCTTAGCGTTGAGCGTTGGCTTTCGATGTTAAGTGTTCTTAAGTTAGAAAGCTCATTTTGATGCCAACATTGAATGTTAGTCTATGCTCTTGAGTACTCTCTTGATAGTAAGCTTTTGTGATATCAGCTTTTGGGCGCACTCTCTTCACTATCGAGTGGCAATCTTCAATGTTTTTTCTATTTTGTTGTTTTTCTTATCATGTGATTTTGTGATCTTCTAATTGATGGGTTATGATATTATTGATGTTTATACACTATAACTTGATGTGGTTAATGTTATGGGGATTGCCTATGAGAAAATCCTATTGAATGTAATTATAGGGTGTGCATTGATATGAGGAGTCTGGATTGAAGGTTTTATCCTGATAATTATTCCGCTTATATAGACTAGAATGAGTTATGTAGTGAGAGGGGTAAAAGGTCCTAATTTAGGAGATTTACTTGGTCAAAGATTTTTAAAGGATTGACATTTTGTGTGTAGGATGAAACTCATTAGCAATGACTCTGTAAAGCAATAGATATCAACCACAAGTGCGAGACCACCTAGAATCGCACATCATTGCCATATCTAAATAGTTTAATATATAAATAATAAATGTATGAATGCATTTGGAGGCATGAGATTGCGAGAGGGTGAACGAAAGAGAGCTTGGTGAGGGTTGAGTGAGAGAAAGGAATGGTGAATCTGATGAAAATGAGTTTGGAGAAGGTTGCAGTTTCAATCCCTAAAAGATAGTGTTCTTCGTCAACGTGCCTCCATTGAATATCTCATTTATAATTAACCAAAATTAGAATAAATCGAAATCGTTTAAGTAGAAACAACTAATAAGAAGTGATAAATCTTAACTACCTCTAAAAGTAGTTCGACAAGTGGATGTGTGTGTCAATTATTTTTTTAAATTTCGTATTATATATATATATATATATATATATATATATTAT